CTCATAAACAAATTCTGTGCTGTGAGTGGGATCCAAACATCATGCTCAGTGAAATGATGTCTATGTTTGTGTAAGGCATACAGACTTTAACATGAGACCATCAGGCAGTGTCATAGAGGCTGAGCTCTCTCGGCTCGACTCCGGCCAGAAATGAAGTGAAACGATCAACATCCAGTCTTATATGTGATTTATAGATTATATAGATTAAGGAAATTGTGATTGACAGACCCAAAGTTTTAAAGAGATAGTAATGCCAAAATGCAAAGTGACGTGCAGAGTGATGTCCTTTACAGCATATCTCATTTTTGGGGGTTCAACTGTGGTCCACAGATGGGGGAGAACTTTTTTTGACTCTACTTAATCTCTTGTGCATTATAACATTAGTATTGTCATCTGTAGACCTCCATGGGGTCATTGTGGACGTCAAACTTTGACTCATTTTGGATGTCGTTTGTATACTGCCTCTGTAGGCTCTGTATTCACATGTTTCCAGAGGGTGGAGGACATGTTTTCTACATGCTAAGAGTTCATTTTTCTGTAGCTTTGTTTACATCTTTTTATGCGTCCCCAGTTATCATATGTGGCTGAGACAAACAAATGAAGTCATTGGAGAATGATCTGGAACAGCATGGCACAGTACGAAATGGGCTAGATTACAACAGTTATGTGTGAAGGAATGCAGAGAGATCAGCGGACATCTACAAGGTAGCGCAGACTCTTGACACTAAGACAAAAGTGAGCAGCTGCTCGTGGATTCTTCAGACATGTCAAGTTTCTCACAGACAGTTTGTAAAATGATCAACAAAGACTGTTGAGCAGACAGTTCAGCAGACGTGCACAAACTTCACAACCACATTCGTTTCCTCTTAGAATCATCAGCTCTCCACAATAAACCAGGAAACTTGTAAAGATGAATCATATATAATTACTATATCTCTTAAACTTATTAAACACATTGAGCTCCTTTTAAAAGCAATTTCAAGAATTTTCTAAACACTTTAATTATTCTCATTTTACATTTTAATGGATTTTAACATTTTTAATATTTCAGTGCATTTTAATTTGTTATGGTCCTTAGTGTTTTCCCGTTTTGTATTATTTATCTTTGACATCATTGTTACTGCCTAGGGTTTTGGAACGTATGAAGCAACATGTTTTCCTCCAAGCAAATCCAAGTGTGTCAGCCCTGTAGGTGATTGGCCAGCTTGAGCCCTGTGGAAAACTGGGAAGCAATGAGTGGCTGATTGAGCTCACCTGCGTCTATAAAAGACTGACTGTGATTCGGCGTGGCTGCTTTAGACTGAAAGCACAGTCCGCCATTTCGGCCCGCTTTGTGTTAAACTGTGTGTGTAAAGCCGAGCACTGTCCATTCCCTCTTGCTTGTTCTGGGGATATTAGCTGACTGGGTTTTTTGTATTGGGTGAACCTGGGACCATTTCGTGGCCTTTGCGTTTTTTAATTTCACACTATTTTCACTGTGTTGAATGGAATATAGCCAAAGTTCCTTAAATGCGCTTAAATGGCTGAGATACAGACATACATCCTGTATCGAACCTCGTGGTCGATTTCTGCCCCATTGAAAACCATTATAAACACTATTTTTCATTGCACAATTATTTTAACTAGGGTTAATGCAATTCTCTAAGTGAGGGTGACACTTTGGAGTCCGGGCCTTACAATCTTAAGGTCCGGAGGCGCAAAACAAAGAAGCGCCGGGGAAAACGTGCCGGCGTTCGGAACTTTTTTGATACATTTCACTGTGTGTTGTACTTGACTTGACTATAACTATGCATGTGACAAAAAAAATGAATCTTGAATCTTATTATTCACATGTGCTATGTGACCTGTCGTGCCAAATTAGAGACGAAGAGGAGGATGCAGGACGAAGCAGAGACGAAGAAGAGGATGCAGGAGGAAGCACAGACGAAGAGGAGGATGCAGGAGGAAGCAGAGATGGAGAGGAGGATGCAGGAGGAAGCAGAGATGGAGAGGAGGATGCAGGAGGCTGACAGAGGGAAGATGTTGGT